GTTAACTCCTGACCTTGCCCACTGTGCAGTAGTATCATTCATGCCTTCAGCCTACTCATCTCCACAAATAGTAATTTAGCTCCAGGGTGTCTTCCCAAGACCAAATTATTTTAACCAACCCTAAGAAATAAAATTATTTTGGCCTTTAAGATTCTTCCCACTTACAAGTTTTTCTTTTGGACAACTCATTTTTCCAGCACATCAAACGGAGCAGGCACTGAGTGATGTCTGAGAGTTATGCCGGGGAACCCCTGCACTTGCACAGCTGGGCAGGACTGAGGGGCTGTCCCTGCTGAGCCTGTTGCAAACATGATGCCTCTCTCTAATGGAGTTGGGAAAAGCCCCCAGTCTCCTGATTTACAGACCTGTGATTTGGCCATTTGACTGTGATTGTTTGTTGACACCAAAAAAATGTTATTTTAAGCAGGGATGACTTAACAGACATGTCTCAGTGGAGTCAGTGCACCAACTGCTTGCACACAGAGCTGGTTTAAAAATGCCCTGCTTTGCTTTCCTGAAGGTTCATCTCTCTTCCTGGACTTCTGTTGGTTTTTCCTCTTGCTCAGTCGCTGGGAAACAGTTCATTTTCTATCTTGACCTAGTCATCCAGACTCCACTGACATGCCTTGTATCTGATTTGGACTCCTTTATGCAAAGACTGATAAAATCACCAATTTTTACTCATCTCAGCCCAGCAGTTCTAGCACCAGTCTGGAGCAAGTCCCTGCAGTACTACAATAGGAAAGGCCTGTGGCTGATGCATCGCTCAGGATGATCTTGTTGCTTAGTGGGGCTTTCTTATTGAATGAAACTCTGGAGTGGCAGGGTTTAAAATGACTTTACGAGGCAGGTAGAGATTTTCAGCTAACATATTCCATGTCATGTTGCTAAACCTTGAATGATTAACTTTCATAAACGTTGACTGATGAACTTTCACAAATGTACTGTCAGTGCTTGATCTTTCTCTTGGGAGAAATCTCCACTTCCTTCTCTTTCTGCATCAAAATGTAGCATTAAGTTTGCTTTGCAGGCAATAAGGAACCCCCCAGGAATGACAAATCAGACTCCCAGTCTGAAAGCCCATCCATTTCTTGCCTTGGAGACAATGTGGAGTGGCATTTTAAAGGTGTTGATACTTCTTAATAATCCCCATTAACAAGAAATCACCTACTGCTGATACTGATCTAAACTGATGTCAGTGAGATGAATTAGGGGTAGGGGACTAGGGAGAGAGGCTTGTTGATCTGTTGTTTTCCTGCTGGGCTCCTCAGGAACACTGAAACATTTCACTAATTCTCACATGGACCGTATCTCCTCTTTTTCTGACTCTAGAGAATAACTTTGGCTGTGAAAACTCCTTGAATTTAAGGAATAAAATTCTGGCCACAAAAGCACTTCAGGAACTGCATTGGTGTTATTTGGGAAAAACAGTTACTTCAGTTCCTACAAAACTGCTAATGGCAAGGGATTTGGTATCAGTCACAGCTGACAACTTGTTCCTGTGCAAATTGTGTGAATTCCAAATAGTTTGTACAAACCTACCATGTGCAGTTTGTCTCAAGAAGACAAGTGGTGCTGAGCTGCACTTGCCCTGTTACCTTCAGGTGGAGCTGGGGCACTGAATTCTCTGAAGAAAAGTTGTGCTGAAACAGAGCAATGAATGCCAGTGCCAGGCTGTGTAATCTCCAAAAAATCTGAGGGAAGAGTGAGATCAAATCCAAGTGTAAATCTTTATTAAAAGCTCTTTCCTACACCCCTTAGCATGCCCCCAAACCACTGAGAGGATCTCTGATTTCAGGTTCCCCGGGGAAACTGCAGTATCCTCCAGTTTCCCCTGGAATACCCTTTTCTAAGCACAGCGTTTTCGTGTTGCTCTAGAGATGTGAAACAATTCAGGCTCAGACAGAGGAACGTGTCAGGTCTGATACATTCAGTTTTTCTAAGCCCTTGGGAGGACTGGACTCAGGAGAGCACATCACCCTGCTGTGGTGTTTGCAAACAGCCCTCGTGCCTTTGGAAATCCTGGGTGGACCCTGTACCCCCACCTGACCCTGTTGGCTGCTCTTGCTGCGGAGCTGCAGCTGCAGGTGAGGCAGAGCTGGAGAGCAGGAATAGTAGCAATGTGTGTCTGTGAGGACAGTGAGCTCCCCTTGGCCAAAATCCGTGTGCTGGGAGTTAATTCCTACTGTATCTCTCTTGCACTTCCCGTTAATCCAGCTAATGGAAGGTCTTTAACTGTTGCTGCTGGTGCCCCTGCCAGAGCCAGGCGGCCTCGGCCAGCTGTGCTTGTGTCCTCTCCCTAAATCGCTTTCTGAACTGGCTCCAAGGCTCCAGCTGCTTTTCCAAGCCCCCATGTCTTATCCTGCCATGCATCTGCTCGTGATGCAATTCCCCCAGGAGCAGGGAAGCATGGGGAGGGGGGGAGCATGTGAGCAGCAGTGTGGGCAGGAGCCGTTTGTTCATCCCTATTGAGAAGGAGTACAGGGCAGTCCTGAAAATCAGTCCCAAACCTGGTGCCCAGAACAGCCCCTGCAGAGCAGGGAAGGTCCCACTGGACTCTCGGATTCCCTGATATCTGTAGCTCTGAGATACCATGGGAGGAAAATAAACAGGCTTGAAGAAAATGAGGGATCAGAGGCAGGGAAAGGATGCTGGAAGTATGTGGAGAAGGGTGGGTGCTGTGTTGTTGTGAGTTATTTTTCCTGTGGCTTTTCCTGAAGCTTCTGTGTTCGACCAAGTCTATCTTGGTTGAACAGTTAAAGAGGGGCCCTACTCAGGCCCTGAATGTAGTGGTTCAGGTTTAATGCCTTCTGCCATGTTAACTCAGGACTTGTCTTGCCTTCTGAGGGTTCCCTGTGTGTTCTAATCCTGGCCATGCTCTGCAGTGACAGAATTCAGCTGCCAGTGACACCAGGAGCATGGAGTGGGACAGCAGCATTGTGCCTATCTTACAGATCGGGCAAACTGAGGCACCAAACTCTCACTCCCTCCACATCATTCAGCAGTGGCAGAGTTTAAACCCAGCTTTCTCCTGCCCCCTTCATGCTCTTTGCCTGGAACTCTCAGAAAGGTAGGCACTCTTTCTTAGAGGAGAGTATTTTCTGGCTAACCTCAGGCTCTCTACCATCTGCTGAAGGCTGTGTGTCCTTCTAGTGTGGGAAGTCATCGTGCAGCCAGTGATACCAGCTTGGAGAGGTTTCAAATGAGGAGCAGCCTTAGCTTCTTCCTGGGTTGCATAGCTGTGGGGCTGCCCTGTGTCCCTGCTTCAGCCTGGCAGACTCTGGTCCCCTTGGTTGTGACAGACCCCATGTCCCTGTGGCTCTCTGGGATGAGTACCCTCAAGGCAGACCCTCCTTGGGAAGAGGCAGAAGGCCCCCCTTTGCCCAGCCCTGAGCCCCAGACAGGTGTCGACACTCCATGCTGCACTGGGGGCTTTGTGAACAGCACTCAGGGCTCTTCTTCCATCTGCAGAGATAGGAAGGAGGTGGGAGTTCCTTATCTGTGCAATCCTACCTCGGGGACTGTGTGAGGTTGTTCCCCTTGGGAGGGAGGGATAGAGGCTTCAGGCAGCTTCCATTCACCGGCAGCCTTTCATCCCATGTCCCAGGGCCACAGCCACCCTGTCTCCATCCCTGTTTACTGATGGGGCCGATATGGCCAAGGCAGGAGGGGTTGCAGGTTGTCCTAATCGCCTTGTCACCGAGCTGGACAGTCTCAGACAGCCAGAGGATGTTGTGACTGCGCTGAATTACAATGTTTGTTGTTTCTCACTCCCAATAATTGACATTTGATAGCGACTACTGTAAAAGCGGCCTAGAGGCTGCGGCTGAGGGAGAGCAGAGGCAGGAGCCAGGCGATGGAGAGCCCCACCCGCTGCCCCTGGGCAGGCTGGGGGCAGGCGCGAGGTCCCTTGCCCCTCTCCCTGTTCGGGGACAGGATGCAGAGGGGCTGCGGAAACCTCCTGCAGATGTGCTGGGGGCAGTTCCTCTGGTTTATGACTTGGGGTATCGGTACCTCCCTTGCACTGATTTTCTGTGCAGGGGAGAAATCAGCCTCTCGCCCCCAAAGACTGGGAGCGAGAGGGTCACAGATGGGGGAAAACGAGACCTGTCCCGATCTCAGCCTGACGAGGGGGACGGGACACGCCGGTGCAGAGCAATCTTGCCCGGGCCGTGAGGTCGAAAAGTGGCTTTAAAATTATTTTTGCAAACCTCTGTAAAACAAGCGTCGTTTCCAGGCCGCGCAAGGAACGCCAGGGACGCCAAGGTTCAGCCACTCTCTTTAATGACAACTCGCTGACCTCCGTCAGCTTGTACAGGAAAGGGAGACACGTAGGAAGGGGCGGACAGTGCATTTCCATACTAACTCACGTTTTAGTGCATAACCCTACGGGGCCTGGCGGGCCGGAGTGTCTGTGTCCCTCGGCCGCGGTGGGGTGGGGGGGTCTGTCCTCATCGTGTGCCCAGGCCGGCGGTAGCAGCCTCGCACAGGGGGAGACCTGGGTGCGGCGAGATGCTGAACTGGACGAACAGCGGGAACCGTATGGGAAGTGCAAAAATTAAATGTGGATGTCAAAAATAATTAGTATAGAGTAAAAGATTAAAAAACAAAACAAACAAACAAAAAAACCAGAGAGAGTTGCAGGGCTTGGCTGGCTGTCGTTGGGATCAAGTCCAGCAAAATGACCGGCTGGTTTGTAGGAAGGAAGGAGGGGGAAATTACCAGGGTGAAGACCCTGGTGGAAGGGGGAGTGAGAGGGTCCGGGCACTGCGGGCACTGCTGGTCCTCCCCGCCGGTGCCCGCCTGGCCCCGCACGGAGCGCAGCCACCGCACGAAATACTAAGAACCCCCTCCGGTAAATGGCCACCATCCTAGTGAACTCCGCCGGGATGTTACACTGAACAGTCCTCATCCCGCAGCACTGAAATGTCCTGAGCCCGGCTCGCGGGCGCGACCGGAGCCCCTCCATCCCTGTGGCCGTGGTCCATGGAGGGAGCGGACCGGGGACGGGGGCGGCTCTACCAGGCTCGAATCCCGTGCAATGTGGAGATCCCCGCGTTCCCCTGCGGGATGGGCGTCTGCACCGAATTCAAGTCCCCTACGCTGAAGTTCATGAAGTTGTTGCCCGCCGCCGAGGGCTGCATGGGCTGCATGGAGGGGTAGTTGCAGTTGTAGTTGGCGTTGCAGGCAGGGCTGTTGTAGTTGGTGTACGCGGGGTAGGCGTTGTAGCTGTAGGGGTTAATGCTGACATTGTAGGGCGAACTGTAGGGAGAAGATTCCCCCAGGCAGGGCTTCCCATCGCGCACCAGCACCGGCACCGCTATCCGCCGAGGGGGAGGGATCCCTACCATTTCCAGGGTCTGATCCTGTCTCTGCCTTTTGCATTTATACCTTCGATTTTGGAACCAAATTTTCACCTGGGTGGAGGTGAGCTTTAGGACGTTCGCTAGATGGTCTCTCTCGGGGGCCGAGAGGTATTTCTGCTGCTTGAACCTTCTTTCCAGTTCGTAGACTTGGGCTTGAGAAAAGAGGACGCGAGGTTTCCTCCTTTTCCTCTGTCTGGGGCGCTCGGGATCTTCCAGGTCTCTTTTTTCCTGCTCCAGGCTCTTGTGCAGGGAACACAGCTCTGCAGCAAAATAAACGGGAGAAGGAAAAAGGGGGAGGAAAAAAATGTGCAAAAAATATAAAGCAATGTTCAATAAACAGCGTGCAACTTGAGCGAGCCCTGGCGCTTCCCCGGCCCTTCTCCGGCCTCGTGTACCTCAGGCCGCCGCGGTGACCCGCTCTTCCAGCAGTGGGACCGGCCCTGCCCCGCTTTTTAAGTACCTCTTCAGCGAAGTTTCCGTCTTTTTTGTTTGTTTGAAAACAAGGATGCTCAGTGCACTGATTTGAGTCGCGACTGCCTGTGTCCCAGCCTGGATTTATCACACGTAGCCTTTGTACCGAATCCCAGCCCGACCCGCGGGCTCCGGTACCCTCGGCCGAACGAATTAGAAATCCTATTTGTCACCTAATTTCTGTATAAACTCGAGACCTCGCATATCCTCCTGCAGCTCTGCCAGCCCTGTTGGGTGGGCTCTTGGCTCAGGCCCCTCTCGGGGGGTCTCCGGACCGGGGTCGCCCGGACACCCCCCGCCGTGGGTCTGTCCCACTCCTGCACTGTGACGCCCGGGAGGGGATGAGGATGCTCCCGCTCTCCGCGCTCTTCCTCCCCAGCCCCCGAGGGTGGGCGCAGCCCCGCACTGTCCCCTCTTCTCCCGCAGCTCTGGCGACCCCCCGGCCGAGCGCCCAGCCCCGGCTGGTGGGGGGGGTCACCGTTCCCCTGCCCTCCCTTTTTCTCCTCCCGAGGACCACCGGTGGGCCCCGGACAGCAGCACTTGGCTTTACCTTTCTTGTCCGCCTTGGCCTCCTTGGCCGAGTCCATCTCCACGTAGTTTTTCACGTAGTAGGAGCCGGGGAAGGCGGCGGCTGTTTTGGCGGGGGGCGGCTCGGGCACCTCCTCCCGCAGGTCGGGCAGAGCCGGCGGCTCAGAGCTGTAGGTCTCCTGCTTGAAGGTGGCCAGCATGCAGGAGGGGGAGGCCAGCGAGGAGAGCTCCATGGAGGACAGGCCGCTCTGATGCTGTTCCAGGTTCAAAATATCCTTGACCGAGAAGGGTGTCGTAGTCACAGGGCTAGGAAACATTGCAGAGGAGAGCGGGGCAGCGGCCGGAGCCCAGGGTCATGGAAAAGTAGGTGAGGAGCAGCCAACCTGGAGCAGTGGTGGAGCGTTGGCTCACGGAGGGGGCACATAGCATTCCCGCGAGTAGCCTTGACTTGTGCACTGGAGGCAGGTAGGACCAGACCATAAGGGAAGGGAAGGAGGGACTAGGCAGTTTTTGGGTGACTTTAGCTTTCTATTGGCCAACATTGCAGTGATGGTATGAGAGATGCAAAGTTCCATGTCACCTAATATAGTAATACATCTCAAAAACATCTCCGCTCATTTAAAGGGGCGGCACTGCATTTATCCAGCTTTTCTGCACTGAGATTTTTCATCCATTTAAAAAAAAAAAAAAAAAAAGGCAGAATGGCCTAATGTGTACAAAGGCACTATCTGACGCTATCTATCACACAGTCAGATTAAATAAACAGGCCGGGAGGAAGCCATCAACTAAATATGTGCTGATTTCATATTTTTTTTTCTTGTAAGAGAGGGAACGGAGGTTTCGTTTTTAGTATTCTGCAATATCCCATCGCAGGAACTAGAAAGCGGGGTTTCATTGCTGTGTGAAGCGCACTCAAGGGGAAATCCGCGCTTAGGGTTTATACAGATATTCTGAAGCAGCACAACGCTCGCGAAATCCAGCTGACAGGAGAGAGCTCCTGAACAGCCCCTGCTTGGCTTGGGAGAGGGAATTGCCGATTGAGTTTTCCTCCCGTCTGTTTGTAAAGCTTTCAAACAAACAAAAAAACCAAACTCCCAAAACAAACTACCACTGTCTGGGGGAAAAAGAAAAAAAAAAAAGGTAAAAAAAAGGTAGAGAAAAATAAACCAAAACAAGCGCGGGTCGAAGGCTTTGTAAAATATAGAGGGGTAAGAGTAAGGCAAAGCAACCGGCCGCTGGGCTGCCGTCGGGAGCCAAGGCTGGCCCTGGTGCTGGCCGAGTCCCCGCAGAAAGGTGGGCACGACTGCCCGCGGGTCTCGGGTTCACGACACCGCTCGTTTAACTTGAGTGAAGTCGGTGAAATAAACATTAGCGACAAAGCCGCAGGTTGAGGAGGGGCCTTACGGCGCTTTCTGGGCTCGGAGGACGAGAAAGAAAAAAAATTTTAAAGGACCTTCTTTAGCGCTCCAGCGCCCGACTGAATGAGACACGGGATGGGGGAGGCCCCGGGCGGTGGGAGCCGAGCGGAGAAACCCTACAGCGATGCGGTGAGTTTGGGGGTCCCTCGGCCAGGCCCTGCCCTGGAAAGGAGACGGAGTCGCAGTTGTGCAAATCCTTCCTCCGCCCGCGGGAAGGGAACCCTGCTAGGCGGGTGGAAACGTGAGCACCTGCCCGCAGCTGCCCTTCCCTGGCTGCTCCTCAACGGACCTGCCGGTGTCCCACTCCCAGCTGCCTCCCCCCCCGAGATTTTTGTGTCTCGGCACCTTTAGGCTCCCTTTTGGGGAATTTAATTCAGGATGTTTTGGGGGGACGATGCTATGACTCGCCCTTCTCTCTGGGGATCGCTGGCCGGAGCAGCAGCACCAGCAACCCCGGCGCTCGCAGCCCCTCGCTGCAGACGCCTACGGATGTCCTGGGAGCATTTTTTTGGGAAACCAGATCCGGACCTTGCGATGACAATCGGTGCGATCACTGTGTACGGGGAGGTCTGAAATATTGCCATTTAATGAGGGGAGGAGGTGGCTAAGCGGCCACCTCATTCCTCGCGGCTGCGCTTCCTGCAGAATTCCCTGGGAAGCAACTCGGAGGGGATGTTCCTCTGTTGCAGGAAAAGGGGTGAAGTGCCTGGGGAAGGTGGAGGCAGCCTCAGCAGCCCGGCTCAACACAAAGGTCTGCGGCGGGACTTTGCCGGGTGTCCAGGGCACCCCTTGCCCTCCGCATTGCCCTACGGGCTTTCTAATCTCTTTGCCTCCTTTTTAATGCAAGCTAATGGGGGTAAGTTAGATAAATATTGAAATACCGAAGTGATCCCGATCCCTCCCAAACCCGCGGCCGAAGGTTCGCCCGCCTTGGTGACATCCGCTTCCCGGCAGAAACGGTGTCCAGCGCTCCCTTCCTCCATCCCGGGCTCAAAACGCCCTTCCCAGGCCAGGTCGGGAGCTCGCACGGCAGTGCCTGTCCTGGAGGTTTCCCTCTGTCCGACCTGGCCCCCTCTGGGCCCGGGGCGCTTCCCGGTGGGGCGGCCCCGCCGCGGGCTCCGTGGGGCGGGCACTGCCGGCCGACAATCCGCGATTTACCGAGGATTGACGGGCTCCCTCCAGCCCCCCAGTCACACGGCGGCTCCCGATCGATGTGGGCCCGGCTGCAGAGGGTGGAAGTGATTAATTGAACGATAAGCCGGAGCTATCATTTGGAATGTCATTAATGCGTCGGGGAGACATTCATTGGAGACAGACAGCGTTATCTCCGCTTTATCTTCAACAATGCATCACTTTTAATACTGCGGTTTAGAAACAAATGGGGGCTTTAGCCTTGGCCCTTCTCTTCGTGTTTATATTTTTGGAAGAATCACAACTAGTGGGAGTCCCGGGCTCGGCCCCCTGATAAATGAACATTAGCACTTTTTAGAACTACTGTATCAACAAAAAGAGCTGCAGGGCCGCAATAATTGGTGAAAAAGCAAACACTCTGCAAAGAGAGGCCAGGTCTGCTCTGTGTCCGGCTGATTGATGAATAAGTTACTGACATACAGCAGCTCACGGACTTTCCGGGTCGGGGCTCCGCACCCATTCCTCCCCCCTTTCCCATCCCCTCTTTCTCCCTTTCCCAGTGCTCTCCAGCAGCCCGCTGAAGCCAGGCTCCGACTGTCCAGCGGAGGGGACAAAGGCGGCGGGTTCACCCAGCTCCGGACTCTGCTCACAGCCCTCAGGCGCCGCGCTCGGTCCCCGCCCGGCCTGGCCCGGGGGGACCTGCCCGGGTGCCCCGGCTGAGTTGCGAGGCAGGGATCCCCCTGTACCCTGAGCTCTCCCCCACATCTTTTACCTTCTGCAGGGTCGCTTTTGACTGGGTTTAATTAACACTCAAAAAAGAGTAAAGGGAGACAGGACCCCTGAGCAGCGCCCTGAAACACCTTTTCCAGCTCCCCCTCCAGCCGGGAGCCAGGCCCTGTGGGGGTATGGAGGGGAGACGAGGCGAGCAAAGACGTTGCTATTTTTCTGGCTCGCAGGGAAAAGCGGGGGTATTCTGTTCTCCCCCCTTCTCCTTCACGCTGTTTGCAGGTTGTTCTCGCTTCCCCCTCAGGACTGAGCCTGCCCTGGCCCCTCACGCCCAGAAAAGCCCCTCGCAGGAGAGGGTTGTCGTCCACACCCGCTCGTGGCTTCTCTCCGGGATTGCTAAGTGCGATTCGTGTTGGGTTTGTTGTGTTTTGTGTGTATTTTATTTTCTCCTAAAAAAAAAGAAAAAAAAAACCACACCACAAAAATTTAAAGCTTTTCTTGCTGAAAACAAACAAACAAAACCAAAAAAATTCCAACCCCGCAATTAACTACAGAGAGCACATCCTCTGTCCCCCTGAGCTTTCGACACCTCAGACTGTTTAGAGAGAGATGGGACCTTTTAAAAAACTTTTCCTCTTAATCCCAGTCGGTTAAGATGTCCAGGGCCCCCTCCCGCTCTAATTCCCGGCTATCTCCCGAGGACTCTGTTTATACCTCGCCAGTAAACGCCGGGGTTTGAAACCTTGTCACTAATTGAGTGCTAACACTTCAGGTGCTATAGATTTGTTAAGAGCCAGTAGTCCAGAAATAGCCTATTAGGGTTTCCTTGCGAGAAGTTGTGCCAATCTCCCGGTTCTCACCGTGGCGGAGGGAGCCGCTGGGACCCCGGGATCTCTGCGGGTCCCCAAGGGTCTTCTGGTCCGTTATTCCTTTCAAACGCTTGGGAAGGGATGCTGCAAACCGGCGAGCTCGGGTTGAATAAATCCTGTCGGTGGGATCTCTGTGCTGCCGTGCGTGTCCGCCGTGGCGGGGTCCCTACCGGGATCGCCGAAGG